GCATTGGTGAGGCCACACCTTGAGTATTGTGTTCAGCTCTGGGCCCCTCAGTTCAGGAAGGATATTGAGGTGCTGGAGCAGGTCCAGAGAAGAGCAACGAGGCTGGTGAAGGGACTTGAGCACAAGTCCTATGAGGAGAGGCTGAGGGAGCTGGGGTTGTTTAGTCTGGAGAAGAGAAGGCTTAGAGGGGACCTCATCACTCTCTTCAACTACCTGAAGGGAGGTTATAGCCAGGTGGGGGTTGGGCTCTTCTCCCAGGCAACCAACAATAGGACAAGGGGACATGGGCTCAAGCTCTGCCAGGGGAGGTTTAGGTTAGATGTTAGGAAGAAATTCTTTACAGAGAGGGTAATCAGGCATTGGAATGGCCTACCCAGAGAGGTGGTGGATTCACCATCCCTGGAGGTTTTTAAAAAGAGATTGGATGTGGCACTTAGTGCCATGATATAGTAATTGGAGTTGGATCAGGGTTTGGACTTGATGATCTTGGAGGTCTTTTCCAACCCAATCTATTCTATGATTCTATGATTCTATGATTCTATGATTATTTTTTTCCTGGAATTTGTTTCTTTCTTTAGCTGAAGTTGTGGTACTTGTTATTATCTGAAATTGCCCACTGTGGAAAAATAATCACTCTCATACAATGCACTGAGAAATCCATTATGTCATTTTAAAGGTCAGATTTGAAAATGGATTTGAACTTGGTTTATTGATATGAGCCTGAAAACATTGCACACAATGATTTCTGACTGCAAATAAAGAATATTTTACCTGAGTTGTGAGTGAAAATGGCCTGGGTCAGCAAACAAGTTGCAAATAGCTGTATACTGTTGCAAATGGTCATGCACCCTAGATTTTTCTAGAAGGTATTGTCCAGAACTAGGTAGGACTGCTCTCTTACCTGTGATCTCATGTGCTCATTCCGTTCAGAAATGAGTTGAGGAACAGTGGCAGCTTTGCATCTTTGTCCTTGCATCAGAAGTTGTCATTCAACTGAGTAGTGCTTTTGCCTTTGTGACTTTTGCAGGGAGTGCTTTGCTTTTGGAGACCTTACAGTCTGTGTGGTTTTCCAACCTCAGGGGCCTGTAAGCAAATCAGTCAGTCAGTCTGTGTCTCCTAGAGGCTCAGCTCATGGTGCTCAGACATCTTCCCAAGAAGGAAGCAAATACATCCCACTACTACACAGCCATGCCAAGCATGTACAGCAACCCAGCACCATGGCAAAGAACATGGGAAGATAGGTAGGAGTTGGTTACCACCACTCCAGCAATTCATCCATACCCCTCTGGAGTATACAATCTGGAGTACAAGCTGAGCTGCAGGCTGCAACCAGACTGGGAGTCCTTGGCTTGGCAGATAATCACGTTGCCACTTTGTGAGTAGAACTGTTGGTATGCAGCAAGCAGTTCAGTGACTCATGTCCCACAATTTTATCAGTTTTTCAGACTGACTTCGGGACAGAGGCACCAAGGTGCTGTGCATGGGGTCACTGCACCTCTTTGTTGTCCTTTCAGCATTATGCACTGAACCTGCCACAGCCTCTGGTGATTTTGCCATGGGCAAAAGACTTCTCTGCCCTTTGTGCAGATATAATTTTAACACTCCTACTACCACAGCTGGAAAGAGAGACTAAGCTGTAGCAAAGACTCTTAGATGTGTCTTGGAAGGTAACACAAATTATCTTCATTGCTTATGGAAATAAACAGATTGCAGCTGTTGTACTAAAGACAGCACTGTGCAGCTCAGAGAAGAATGTATAGCTGTGCCACCAGATCCTTCAAAAAACAGTATATTTTATTATACTCTTTATGATCTTTTGAGGTGTTGCTGCTCTTCAATTCCTCTACTCTGGAAACTGTTTTTCTCCAAGCCTGACATAACTACAGCTAACTTTATAGACACCATTGAGACAAGCATATATAAAGGATATATAATTTTAATGTGATGTGAAGTAGAAGGGTTTGGTGACTTTTTTTCTGCCAACTGCTGGACAAGCAAATCTTAATGATATTTCTAAAATTAATTCACTTCAGCCATTCCCAGAGTAACTCTTTCTTGTATGTGTTTATACTAGTTCATCCATATGTATAATAAAAAGCAAAATGCCAAGAAGAGGGTTGAACTTTCTAAATTGAGTCTGTTTGTAGATAGCCATGACTTGCACATCTGAGTACCATTTTTGATGCACTGGCTCTGGGTTAGATGTTATAACATGCAAGAGAAAGATTCTTCTGCTGCATCTATCTCAGTAGTTGTTCAGAAGTGATTGTGTTTGTGCAAATTCATTGCATTATTGCAAAGAGATGAAAAAGTCAGATTATTTCTGTACAATGAGCTGGGTAGTAGTTTCTTAGAGCGATAATACTGAAGAGGTTTCAAATGCACCTGTTAAAATATTTGTATTCTAGCAGGTGCAGAAGCATTCCTTTGTAAACTTTGTATTAACACATGTTTTGCACAGGCATATTGTCTTTTGTCCCAGAACTAATGAGTTTTTAAAATGTCAGTGACTCACGTGAAGTTTGTATTCTTCATAGTTACCTTGGCATGAGCCCTGTGCCTGTCCATCTATGCATGGGTGTCACACAAGTTCACAATCTGTGACATAATCATCATCTTTGACAAAAGATTTTTTACAACTAAGTCCTGCTGTGGAATGCTCTAAAATGGTGGAATTCACATTTGTGTGTTTGAAGCATTACCCTGAGAGATTACAGACAAAATGATTCATGCTGCCATCTTTTTTTGTGTTCTAGCCAAGTAAAAGGATTCTGCCAAGTATTTGTAGCTCTTGAAAGCCATGTTCATGTCTTTCCAGGACAGAAGATGCCTTCAGTAAGTATACAGCCTGCCAAAATGAGAAGAAGAATTTCCCTACAATGGCTAAGATGAATACTCCCAATACTATTTCATAGCAAATTTATGTCACTGAATACTCAACAGCAAATTCCCAAAGCTATTAGTTACTGTTTGTTTGTGGCACACAGTGAAAAGTGTAGAGAACTTTGCTTGAGCTAGAGAACATTTTTATTTTACACTACTTGTAACATGAGTTTGCTCTGCAATGCCTTATTTTTTGAAGAACACAACAGTACAAGAAACTGGGTTTCTTTCAGCAGTTTCTGAATTAGAGAATGTCTCCTTCCTCTGATTCTGTTAGTAGCACAGTTTATTACAGAGCCAGGAGTGGACCATATGGTCCACAAAAGCCTTGTGCTGGGTAATGGTAGAACAAAACATCGTCTTCATGTGAACTTCACTGAGAAAAAGGCCTGTCCTTACGTGTCCTAAATATACTTGAGAACAAGCAAATCTCATCTGAAATACATACTGAAGTGTATGTTCCCTATTCTAGACAAAAATAGCTTAGAATGCTTAATTCTGCTAGACTGGGTCCTTGAATTAGGTTTTCAGTATCTATAGCTCTACTTCACAGTGTTGTGCAGTGTTCTCTTCTGTTTTGCTGTAAGTCTAGAGAGAAGTGACAGCCCACATGAGTATTTGCCTTGTGTGATGTTTGAGGCTTTCAGGCTTGTAGTTTACAAATTTTGCTGTGCTATTTTTATCCTATTTTTGTATTTAATTAATTTTTATTTACTTCATAAGAACATAAAGTAATCCCGTCAGACCATCAGTTGAGGACATATCAACAATAAATGGATTGTCTGTCAACCAATGAACCACTCCAAGGAAAGACAAGAAGCTACTGTACATATCAACTGATGCAATTTATAGCATCAGCTGATATGTACTTAAAATATTATGGCATTGACTGCATACAAAGATTACACTGTAAAATATTAACTAAGGTAAATTAAATAATTGATACACTCTGAAGCCTATAGATAAGAGGATTGATGAAGGCTCCTGCAGTCTTCTACTCATGCTAGCAGTCCCATCAAAGTCAAATGCTATCAGCACTCTCTGAAGTCTGCTGGAAACTCTTTGAACTGAGACCCCTTACTCTGAAGTGCAACCATTCCATTCCATCCCCTTGTTTCTGCAGGTCAGGCTTAGGAAGTAGGACTCGAAGTAATTCAACAATTTCATGCCTTTTTGTGTTGTTGTTGTTTTTAGTCAGAAAGTCTATGGAGATGTGGCAGTATGAGATCAAATCAGCCCTTCATTTCCTCTGAAAGCTTTTGAGACAGCACTAAGCAGTGGAAAAGCTTGGCAATACAATGTGTGCTCAAGAGCCAGGCACCTGAAATGCAACGTCAAGCCCACAGCTTTGTCAGCTTTATCTTTTATATAAAATGGCAGTGAAATGTTCAGGAATGAAAATCTATTACTATTGTTACTATTATTTATTAACATTATTATAATTATTACTATTATTGAATGATACCTCTTCTCTGAAAAATGGTTGTTTCTTAGCCAGTGCCACAAGCAATACTTTTTTGAGTACCTATCACATGACAAATCTCTGTCTCCTATTCATTCAGCTGTGCTCTACCAGAGACTATTGTTAGATATGCATTTGCCTCAGCCTATAACATCACTCCTCAGTGGTTTGTTTTTTTTTCTGTTTGTCCTCATGATGACCTGAAAACCTGAGGAGAAATTAAATCCAAGCTAGCATATAAGGACTGGTTAAAAAAATTAAAGGAGAAATGCAGAAAAAGGACTGTGAGGAAACTACAAAAAGTCTAACTTGCTGCATCCAAAACTTAGTGCTGTGAGCACTGTTGAGCCCTTGTGTCCAGGTGAGCATCCTGCCCTGACTGTGATGCTATGTCTGGGTAAGATCCCTCTTCCTTCTCCTGGTCTCTGTTGCAAAGACAGTATGGCTGCACAGCATGGCAGAAGTAATTAATTAGTACCTAATTTGTCCACCTGGGTAGAGCAGCATCCCAGGGCAGATTGTGATGCTTGCTTCTCTGACAATCATTTGAAATAACTGGGCAAGTTATTTCTGTCTTCCAGTTGGCTGGTTGACACCTGATGCTTGTACAGAGGTGCTGAAGAAGACAGGTTATACCTCCTCTGAGACCATACCAGGGCAGCAGTCTCACGTATCCAAGAACATGAGTGTGTGCAGCTGAGGCTGTAGCAAACCTCCCATCCACCTCATCCATGCAGGACCGAGATCTGTCAGAGAGGGCCAAGGACATGAGCTCCCTGACAACAGCTCTTGCAGAGGAACAGCCACAGAACTGAGGGGGGGGAGGTGTATTTTGACCTTCTTTTGAGGATATTTTCATATATGCATTGTCAAGGTTTTCTGGCGAGCCCAAGGATTGTATTTGCTGATTGTGTGTCTTTTCCCGTACAAGTAGGGCAGCTCTTCGCAGTCCTTAACCTCAATCTGACATAACTTGCTGACCCACACTGATTCTGCTTCTCCCCTCTAGAACTAATTTTCTGCACAGGTTCAGTGTGTTGAGTTTATTTTGTGTTGTGGTCAGTGGGGGATTTTTTGTGGTTTTGGGTAGACAGTTGTTGTGACTTGACCACTACTTGCCCCACAGCTCCTAATCATCTTTGTTTTTGTGACATTCATATGCTCTCCACTGACTTATGTGCAAGCCTTTGACTTTTTCTGAGTAAGGGTTGTTTTTTGTGGTGTTGTCTGAAAATCTGGTGGAGTTCCCTCATTGAGGCCTCACAGAACATTGATAATATTAATTAACTCAGCAGAAATAGCAATACTGCAAAAGGGAAAACATCCATTAGTTGTTTTTAAGGCATGTGGGAGAGTATCAAAGTGAGAACATCAAGTCAAACGCAAAGATGTCATTCTCAAGATGACGATTCCCACCTACTTGGTATTTGCTGTAAAATACAATATCTCAAAGATGAAAATAAGCAGTTTGAAGTATGTTTTTGGTCCCACCTCTGGCAGTTGAGATTTGCTCCAGATCATGCTCGTGCTGCTCTCTCTCTCAACTCCAGGCAATTTGTCTCCCCTCTTCTCGACCAAAAGGCTGGATTTTACAGAAGGATCCTGCAAAGCACTAGCAATGAGTTATCAACTCTGCGAGTAGATTTACTACTCTCTCCCAAAGGCTGTGTAACTCTTAGCACTCAGAACCATGCCATACTCGGAGCACTTGATTCGCCGTACTTTCCCGAGAGCTTTCCCCCATTACTAAATGTTCCCGATCAGGGTGAGCAGTGATATGTACAGGACACGGGCGAGGGGGGACGCCGGGTTGTCCGGATAACTCGGGAAAGCCCTTCGGCGTTTTTTCTCCCCTATAGCCTCGGAGGCGAAACTCATCTTCCTGGGGCGCTTCCAGGACCGGGGCCGGGCGCAGGAGCTGCGGGAGGCGGGTCGGCCTGGGGGAAGGCGGTGGCAAGGACGCCCGCCCCTCTCACCTGGGCAGCCGGGACGGAGCGCCGGCTCCGCTCCCTTCCACTCCTTGGAGGATGAACGGGCCGGAGAGGAAGGTAAAGGGAAGCCGAGCGGGTCAGGGAGTGGAGGGGCGATCCCCGGGGCTGACCTCTCCGGGCGTCCGGAGCCGGGACACGGCGGCATCGGGTGCTGACAGGCTGCGGGCAGCGAGGCGGGACTGGGGAGGATGCGTCCTATGGCCAGTGCCACCGCGGCGTCTGCCCAGCCCCGCTCAGCGCGGCTCAGCTCGGCGGGAGCTGTGCTCAGCAGTGCCCGGAGCCCCAGAGCCTAAGGGTCATCCTTCACGTTGGTGTGGTGACCACTCGAGAGGGATTTGCTGGGTAGATATTCAGATATTCCCGGAGGAGAATCAATCAAAGGAGCAGAGTTGTGTTGTTAAAGTA